TCGGCCAAAGACTTCCTAAATGTTTGTTAGCTCATTCTCACTCCACAACTTAAAATAGCTAGGCTTAAAGCCAATTGGAATGAACAAGAAAGGAATTTCAGGTGCCTGAACCTGTTCCATCCAGGGGCAGTACTGGCTGGACACAGGCTTTGCACATGCTGTTCCTTCTGTCTGGAATGCCCTTCTCTCCCCTCCCTCACCTGCCTGCACCTGCAGCAAGTCCTTCTCAACCTCCAGGGTTCAGCACATTCTTTCGGGAAGCCTTCCCTGATTTCTTGCCTAGAAAATCTCCCTACACAAGCTTTTAAATCCTCTTCGTGGCATCCTTCATAGTTGTGCTTTAACATTTATGAGTTGAATAGTGTTTTCTTTCTTACTAGTCTACAAGCTGAAAGAATTGGGCGTGCCCAGGAATCACCAGGCCACCTTATTAAAATGCGGGTTCTGGTTTAGCAGGTCTGGGGCAGGCCTGAGGATCTGCATGCCTAAGGAACCCCCAGGCTGTTCCAAAGCCAAGGCTGCCAGTCAGCACACCACACCTTGAGTGTTAAGAGGTACAAGAGAGCTAAACCCTTATTCCCTTCTTTCCCGCTTCAATTCCCATTCATGACTTTTGCAGAGAGGTTTGTCTATTTTTTCCCCTTCAACCCATCAACCTAGTTCCCCAAGGCTGTGCATTCCATTAGAGTCCCCTCCCCTATAACCCCCAACCTCCAACGTCACCACTACTAGTGCACGGGCTTATCAAGGAATTTCCCCCCAAATAGCTTTCTCTTGAAGAAATCTAGTGTCATTGGCTAATCGGGCAGAAGACCATAAGGCAATCACGCATTGCTGGGATTTCAGCAAGAAACATCTCCTTTTTCTCAATTTTGGGGACCAATTAAGCTATAGATGCAGGTGAGAAATGAGCTTTTTTTTTTTTTTTTTTAAATCAGTTTTATTCCAATAAAGCTGATTGGGGAATGTGGCTGGGATCTACGGTCAAAGAGGTTTGCTAACCTGTCCTCTCAGAGTAACTTAATTCTTCTTCAAAGCTGCAGGCCACCCCATTGCAAAGGAAGTTTCTATCCCAGCCACCTTCGTGTAGGCAAGTGGAGACCTCAAGTGCATTGGGGGGTGGCTGGGCTCTGCTGGACTTCGCTGCCTCATCTCTCCCGCAGCTTTTTAGGGCAGGTTACTACAGGAGAAGTAGGGGAGGGGCCGAGAGGGGCCAATGGCACTATGTAAGTTACCTTCCTCCTAGAGGGACCCCTAACACTTTTGAGCATTAGTACAGTGGGAGAGAGGGCTTTTTCCTTCAAGTTGAACAGAAAGCCTACTTTGTTCTGAAATCTTCGCCCTCAAATCGTCTTCTCACTAGACCTTCCAAGGAAGTCCAGGTAGCCTTAAGGCAAGGGAGCAAAGGAGGGCCACCATCTTTTGGGTACTTTGACCAAATGGCTCAGGGATAGCTGTGGCTTTTTTTTTTTTTTTTTTGTAGGAATATATCGTAGTTTTATCTTTTTAGTTTATTTTAAAAATAATTTTTAATTTTTATACAACTTTAAAAGCTACTTTCCATGTACAGCTATTAAAAAATATTGGCTGGGCTTCCCTGGCGGCGTGGTGGTTGAGAGTCCACCTGCTGATGCAGGGGACGTGGGTTCGTGCCCCGGTCCGGGAAGATCCCACGTGCCGCGGAGCGGCTGGGCCCGTGAGCCATGGCCGCTCAGCCTGCGCGTCCGGAGCCTGTGCTCCGCAACGGGAGAGGCCACAGCGGTGAGAGGCCCGCGTATCGCAAAAAAAAAAAATATATATATATATATATTACCCGCTTAACAAAAAAAAAAAAAATATATATATATATATATTATATATATATATATATATAGGCTATATTCCCTGTTTGTACAATACACCCTGGAGCCTACTTACACCCAATAGTTTGTACCTCCCCCTCCCCCATACTTCCAGCCCCTCCCCTCACCACTGGTTACCAGTAGTTTTTTTTTTTTAATTCTTATTTAGTTTTTTTTTTTTAATTCTTATTTATTTAGTTAGTTGTGCCAGGTCTTAGTTGTGGCTTGCCGGCTCCTTAGTTGTAGCAGGTGGGCTCCTTATTGCGGCTTACCAGCTCCTTAGTTGCAGCATGTGAACTCTTAGTTGCGGCATGAACGTGGGATCTAGTTCCCTGACCAGGGATCGAACCTGGGCCCCCTACATTGGACACACAGAGTCCTATCCACTGCACCACCAGGGAAATCCCACCACTTTTTTTTTTTTTTGCCTGGGACTTGAGTCTTGCTGGGATCTTGGTTCCCCGAGCAGGGATTGAACCTGGGCCCTACACAGTGAAAGTGTGGAGTCCTAACCACTGGACTGCCAGGGAATTCCCTAGTTTGTTCATTATACCTGTGAGTCTGCTTCTTCTGTTATATTCACTAGTTTGTTGTATTTTCCAATTCTACTCGTGGCTCCTTTGAAAAGTTGTGATTAGGGGTGGGCCGTGGCCTTCAGAGGAGGGAGTATTTGGGAAACGCGTCAGTGGGGGGTCAGTCAGGATGGTTCCAGCTGCCCCAGAGGAAGGTGAGGGCAGCTGTAAGCAGAAGAGGAAGAGGCTTCTGCTCCCTTTTCCCTCTCAGCTCTGTTTTCTCCCGTCTCCTCTTCCTTCTCCCTTTGTAATTCCTACGAATTAGTAAACTTAATGTTTTCACTTTGGATCTCTTGACCAAAAGATAACAGGCTTGAAGTGAGCAGTTAACAGTGTCAATTAGTAATCACATAGCCCGTGTTGAAGACTCTCTCCCGGACCACATTTAGTCTGGCTGCTCTGAGCCCTGTGCTCAGCTAGGCCTCGACCTTTGGGCTTCCCCATCTGTCTTTGCATCACCCAGTTTTAGCAAAACTTCTAAGTCCCTCAGTATCCCATCAAATTCCTCATCCCTCACACCTTGGGGTCTAATCGTGCCAGCTTCCCTCAGCAAGAATCTCGTCAAGTCGGTGTAGCCAGAATCCCCCTCACACCTGATGTTTCCCCTCAGTAATTTTCCATCCACCGACCCCTAAGCCCGCTCCTTGGCTATAAATTGCCACTTGCCCATGCTGTGTGCAGAACTGAGCCCAGTCCTATACCAAGGTCTCTTTTCCCCTTTTGCAATTGTCCTGAATAAAATCTGCTTATACCACTTGACTGTCCAGTTCTGATTTTCTTTGACATCCACCCTACATTTTTTTAAAAATAAATTAATTTTATTTATTTTTGGCTATGTTGCCACGCGTGGGCTTTCTCTAGTTGTGGGAAGCGGGGGCTACTCTCTGTTGCGGTGTGTGGGCTTCTCATTGTGGTGGCTTCTCTTGTTGCGGAGCACGGGCTCTAGGTGCGCAGGCTTCAGTAGTTGTGGCTCGCAGGCTCAGTAGTTGTGGTTCATGGGCTCTAGAGTGCAGGCTCAGTAGTTGTGGCGCACGGGCTTAGTTGCTCCGCGGCATGTGGGATCTTCCCGGGCCAGGGATCGAACTTCTTAACCAAGACACCACCAGGGAAGCCCCATCCTACTTCTAATATCAAATAGGGCCAATATTTTGAAACAGCAGTTATCAAGCCTAAATGGGAGAGACTATTGCACTCTATTTTAATCATTGAATATGTAACATTTATCTCATGCTAGATACTGTGGAACATACAAAAGCAGAGCATACAATATTTCTTGGCCTTGAGGGACACTTGATGTGATAATAAAACAAGAGAACGAATGGACCAATATTTATTACAAATTATTTTACATGGCAAATGAAAGAATAACCTTATGGATTTTTTTCAGATTTAATATACTTTCCTGCTTTACCAGGAGATACTCTGGTTGTGGAATAATAGAAACAGAGGTAGAGAACGGAGTTTGCCTCCATCTCATGGTTTCCAAACTAGTTAAGGCTCATAATAGCAAGTGGGGAGCAGGGAAAAAACCAAGAGGGAGACATTTACAGAAGCAAGAAATCTAACCCAAGCTCAGAAGATGCAACAGGACCACCAGTGAAACAAAAGGGCAGCTTCCTGGGACTCAAGCAGATTGGACCGGACATGAGCCACGAGCCCAGACAAGCACAAGACCCCACGAGCCCAGACAAGCACAAGACCCCAAGTGCAAACACACGTGGCTTCCCTGGCTGTCTCCTGGGTCTCTGGTCTCTCCAGGCAGCCTTCTGAGTGCTCTACCTGAATCAGAAACATGACCACGCACCCCACGCCCCCGGCACATTAAACAACACCCTTCGGTGCCTCTGCACAGCCTGATAAACAACACCCCAGCTCCTCACCTGGCCTTCAAGGCCCCACACCATCAGATCTGCCTCTCTGGGACTCCCCACTCTAGACCCAGCACTCCAGCAACACTGTCCCAGGGCACTGGCCAGGCTGCTTCTTACTTCTCTCTGTTCATACTGCTCCCCTGCCAGGAAAGCCCTTCTTTGACCTTCACATAGCTGATCTCTTCATCATCAGGACCTGGTTTGCACATCTTCCCTGAACCCTTCTCCAGATGGCCAGGGACAGCCTGAACCTCCAACGTTACAATGACCAGTTTGTGTGACTTGCTTCCCTTCTGACACTGTGAGTTACTGAGGGCAGCGGCTATGTCTTATTCATTTTTAGGATCCCCAGCACCGGGCACGGTCGCCCAGTGAGAGTCTGTGTGTGTGTGTGTGTGTGTGTGTGTGTGTGTGTGTGTGTAATAAAATTCCTTAAGGCTGCAGGAAGGAGGGTTCCAGGCACTGTTTTGCAGTGATTTAGCGCATGAGTGGGGTTTAAAGGCTGGTTCGACTTCAAACAAGATTTTATCAATATACTAAGGAAAACAAGCCTGGTAATACTTGTCCTACAGGGCCGTTGGGAAGAATGAATGAAACTGGACAGCTAAAGCATCCCGTGCAGCTCCAACAAGGTTGGTTCTTTTTTCATCCCCACCACGTGTGCCCCTACCCAAGTATCACTCCCAACACGGCTCGTGACAATAAGTGAATCAGTGTCTTGTTTACCCAAGACACATTTAATGGTAAGAACAGAGATTAAGCTCAACTCTTGATAAAAATCAGGCTCAGGTCTCGTCTGGGCAGGGCCGTGTTGCCCCCTCCCTTCACTTCTTTGAGCGGCAGTGTTTCTGGATCTCTCCCGCCAGCCACAGGCAGTGCAGGATGCGTTTCTTCTCGGCAGCCAGCTCCTCTTCAGAGAACTGGCCCAGGAGTTTCTGGACAAATATATTTTGATCCTTCAGGAAAATATTCTTATTGACGCCTACGTTGGGCATATTCTCCAGGGACCCAGACTTGAAATGGAAGCTTAAATGTCTGTTTCGCTTTAGGCCAGGCGCCTTCTCTTCAATCCATGTCAACGGGCTGTGGAAGCAGAGGCACAGGATTAATTTCACAGGGGCGCGCGGATGCGGGCTGGCACCTGAGTGCCCAGTGCCAGGTCCTCGTTTTGTGCCCGTCTTCCCTGCAGCTGCTGCATCCCAACCTCCACCAGCCTCCCAGACGCCATGGGTGACTGTTGGCAACTTTACTACCCAAAGGTCCTTTGTTCAATTTTGCCACCAGGCAGGGGAATTCAAAGATTTTGGTGTATCAGTTTGTTATTTAAGGGTTTTAACCCTGAATCTCACCGGATCCTTCTGGAGGATCCAGACCTGAGATCCTGTGCAAACCGTTGTTTCCAAGTGTATGTGCATTTTTATGGGAAAGAATTCTTAGCGTTCTTTCATCACATTTTCAAAGAGGTCTATGACTCCAGGCACATGCCAAGACCAGATGCTGCCTGCCCACTCACAAAGCACCTGTTTCCATTTCACATTTGCCCCTCAGGCTAAGGTCAGCGCTCACAAAAATCTACAATTCAAGTAGGACAGACCCCGCTCTTCTAAACTTTCTTCTTTTTCTCGATTTATCTTTTCTGTCTTTAGATAAAAGCTGTGTTATCTGCTTAATGAAAAACAGAGAAACCTAAGCAGATTCGATCTAAAGTTAGAAGCTTCACTGAATAATGTGACAGGAAAAATATAAAATCTGCTCTTCAAAAATATATTCTAAAAACAATACAGCATTGATTTAAGGACTTTCAATGGAAAAAAAATCCATAATTCTTTTGCCTAAATATCTTCAGTTTGAGACAATCCTTTCAAATATTTGCCTATATGTATATGGAATATAAACCCTAAAGGATAACTAATTTTTAATTATGTTTATTTTAAAATTTTTATCCTACAGATACTGCTATTATTTTTAGCTGCATATCATGGGGACAACCGATTATATAATTCATTCAATATTTCATTATTACCGAATATTCAAGCTCTTTCCAACTTTAATATGGATAACCTCCATTCAACCTCTTTACACATATACACATATAGAGTTTTCCTTCCTTCCTTCCTTCTGGGAACGAAGTCCCAGGAATGAGAGGACTTGCTCTGACTACTTCTCTTTGCTTTCCCCTCCTTCTTATACTACAGGGAAGAGTCAGGGTCAAGGAGAGGCAATCTGGTTGGGCTGCCATGCTAAGTAATGGGAGTTTTCAGGGCAAACAGGGAAAGAGTTCAATGCCAGGCAGGCATCAGGGTCCCCGGCCTTCTCGTCTCCATTCCTCAGATTCCCTCTTCCTCTCCCCGTGGGCTGCAGTGGGGCAGGCCTGGCGTGGGCAGGCTAGATCAGCGTGGCTAAGGAACGAAGGGGAACTACCTTTGGTTTGTTTGTTCTCCGCCTCTAGAGACACGGGCCATAATACGGCTAACGGTGTGAGGGCGGAGTTGCAAGAAAGGGGCCCAAGCAGGTCACTTAAGATTGTTTTGGGTGCTGTAGGAAGCTCAGGGGTACCTCCAACCTGGGTAAAGGAGGCCTCCCCTTCAGTCAATCAGCTCACCCAGACCTACATTAGAGTGTGGGGTGAATGTTTAAGAGGAAAAGATCTGTACATAAAGGGGGAGCCATCAGGAGAGATGTGGACAGAATAACTTCCTTATCTTGTGGTCCTAAAAACTTAAAAGTATTTGCCCTGGAGGGCGAGGGCATGGGGGGTAGGGCACGCTGGCTCTGGCACCACCCCTACCAACTGGCTTTAGCAGGAGGCCTGAAACATGCACCTCTTCTATATAGATTTGGGTTGAAAAGGTGTTCTAATGCTTTTTTTTTTTTTTTTTTTTTTTTAAAAATTTTAAACTCTGCCTCTCACTGTTGTGGCCTCTCCCGTTGCAGAGCACAGGCTCCAGATGCGC